AGGAACCAAAAAGGAAAAAACCTTTAACATGTAAGTTCTGTTGAATGAAAAATGCATTTTGGTATTTCCCAAAACTGAGACTGAAACTGCATTTCACGATTGTCTTTGATGTTAATGTTACAGACTCAATTAAAAAAAAATTGTTTCATAGCATATGCATTTGTCCATAGTAATTTCTTTGTGTTCATCTGTTAGCAATTTCTTTGTGTTCAACTGTAGTTTTGTTGTCCACATGGCTCAATGACTGCATTATTTCTTCCATGGCCAAGGTCCACCTTTGCTCTGCTTTTTTATTATTACATTTTCTGATTGATAACACAAATACTGCATCTGCAGCAGTTCTGAACGTGTATTCACCATCAATTTTGTTGCGTTGTTCTCTGTATAGAAGGAGGACTTCAATCTGCTAAACTAATAGCTATAAACATTGCTCCTTTCACACAATTTTATGCCAGTTGATTCTCTCTACTTAGCCCCTAGAGGAGCTGGACACAGGGTTCCGCTATTGCCCATCTTTCACATGAAGGTTCAATTTTAGACATTGCTCTAAAACAGTAGGGAACAGTTTTAAGTACTACATATATCTATTACATAAACGTTTGTATCTTCAAAAGACTGCTCACAGCCATCCAGGCATGTCATAAAATGAAGCATGTGAATGTTGTCACTTTCAGCGCTCTTCATGAGCAAAGGGGGAACAAAAAATTAGGCTAATTGGCTCTGAATACTCTTCAGCAAGCAACTGAGAGATGTAATAATTTAAACATATTAATAAATCCTGTTTAGCAAATGGCTGATTTAATGTACTAGAGATGTAATTTCTTAAACATTTCCTGTTTAAGAAATGGCTTAATTAAAGTACTGTTCAATTTTCACTTTTCTGTTTTTCATTGAAAATGGAAATTTGATTTTCTTCACAGCAGCACTAAATTGCAAGAAATATTTAGATGATAAATTATGTGACCTGTTTATGGAGCTAATGTAGCCTGTCTCATGGGAAATACCAAAGCTGTTAAAAGTGCTTTCCAGTACTTTGCAAACTTACAGACATCTAGTAGGTGTGACATACCTTTCATCAGGACTGGTTGTGATTCACAAGGCTATTAAGCTTCTTTAAAGAAAAGCATATTCTGAATTGAATTGACTGAGTGCAAATAATGTAGAAAACTTGGATTTAGAAAAAAGCTTTTTGAGAAGGTTGTTTACCAAATGCTTTTAAGAAAGCAGGTGTCTGTCAGAAATGGAGAGAAGAAGCTCGTGGTTAAAAGAGAGAAAGTACTATATTGCAGTGAATGTGCAGAAGATTGTCTGCTGTTTAAGACTGATCTGAAATAATGGGTTAAACAGCAAGGGACAAAATTTGCTCATTTTATAGACACGTTAAGTGCAATCTCAAGGATTGCAGAAGAGTTTCACTGGACTGAGTAAAAAAGTAGGAATTAAAGAATGATGTTAATAAAGGCAAAGTGATACATGCTCTGGTCTCTAAAATGGTCTCTAAACTCTTAGAAAGATGTGACACTGTCAGTGCATTTAATCTATGCTTTAGAGCAAACAATGACCAAGTTCCCTGGTTTCAGCTGGGATAAAGTTAGTTTCCTTCCTAGCAGCCAGTGCAGTGTTGTGTTTTGGATTCAGCATGAGAATGATGTTGATAACACTCTGGTGTTGTGGTTGTTGCTAAGTAGTGCTTGCTTCCAGCAGAGGACTTCTCAGTGCCAGTGAGGAGCTGCATGGAAAGCCACGAGGGAGCATAGCCAGGGCAGATGATCTGAGCTGGCCAAAGGGGTATTCCACTCCTTAAAAAAATTAACTGGGGAGTAACCCAGAGTGGGGCTGCTTGTGGTTCGGGGACACGCTGGGCATCAGTCGGCAAGTGGTGAGCAATTGCATTGTGCATCTCTTGGTTTTATCAACCTCTCTTGCTTACTGCTACTACTGTTGTTGTTGTTGTTATTATTAATTTTGTTTCAAGTATTAAACTGTTCCTATGACAATCTACAGGTTTTGCCAATTTTTCCCCTGATTCTCCTCTCCACCCCTGTGGGAGTGGGGGGTGCAAGCAAGCCAGCTGTGTGGTGCTTGGTTGCAAGCTGGGGTTAAGCCATGACAAGCACTGATCAGTGATCAGTAATGTGAAAGAGTAGGTTAAACAGCAGGGAACGAAATTTGCTCATTATGTGGACATGCTAAGTGCAGTCCAAGGGTGTCAAAGGATTTCACTGGACTGAGTAATGATGCCAGAGTTAAGGAGCAGTGTTAGTAAAGGCAAAATGATACATGCTGTGGTCTAAAGTGGTAACCACTCATTGAGATGTGTCACAGTGAATGCATCTAATCGATGCTTTAGAGTGATGAAAAAGGCAGATGGTGAGTTAGGAATCAATATGAATAGTGAAGGCTACAGCCAAGTATCTCTGGCTGATCAGAGAAAGGTCTCTCAGATACTATTATAGTTATTTCAGTCCAACTTGAAGCCCGTCAAGGCCCTGCATTATAGGCTTATATGAAAAAAATGTATGTAGGAGTGAGATTTGACTCGTGTTTTAGGTGTTTGTACTCTTGCTGTGGCAACTGTCAAGAGACACAGGACATTGTGTCAGACAGGTCTTTGATTCAACTGAATCAGTGCATTTCATGTATTGATTTTATGTTTCCAGAAAAACAAACTTTCCTTTGTAGAAGTAGAATGTAGAATGTAGAAGTTACTAGATACTTTTTCATGTCATGGTAAGACTAGTGATAGACTAAGTTTAGGATATGAGATCTAAATTATGGTACTCTGTAATGGCAGAGGTCTGGAATTACTGACAAATAATTTCTTTCTAGTAGAGGGTGTATGACAATTATTATCTTTGGAGACTTTAATATCTATGTTAAGCTCTCTGAAATAACAACCCCAATTCTTATATTCATTTCAGGATGCCTTTTGGACCTATACTGCAGTTATTCATTTCCTGGTCTTATTGTGGATCCGATGTGGCTCTAGGAAATATAAGATAATACCCTTTCTGCATTGATTCCAGTGATAATAATGAATTAAATTAAAAATTTCAGTTTTTAGGAATGTGAGTGATTCAACCAGCAATTTGTCAGTACTTCCCAATATTGGATTGTGTTTAGGTTACAATATCTTAAATGCCCATTGCAGGGATTTAGTGAGATTATATATGTACTTCATAGCCACAGTAACTAAAGTGCTAACATATGTCCATTTATTTTTCTTTGCAGTTACTTCCTGAAAAAGCTGCGACACAGATTTGTTCATGATATTTCTTCTGTAAAACTTCCTCATTTCAATTAGTAAAAAATCTTTGCTCTTTCTAAAACACAAGCTTTTAAACAAACCTGATGATCTATTTTGAGGTAATTTAATCTTTTTAACTGATAAAGTCTTCTTAAGGAGAAGATGAGCTCAGGAGTTACCAGTTTTCTTCTGTAGTAATATAAAATGTATTCCTGAGTCTCAATCTAGACACAGTAACACAATCACACTTTTCCTGAATTCAACACAGAATCTTCAACTTTAATGTAGAAATACCAAGAACTTGTTACTTTAGTCTTTGGCTGCCAGAGGAGTATGAAGAGCATTTCCTACACATCAGGACATTGACTTCCGCTGAGTACACTGGTGGAACCAAAGTGCACCGCCGCCTCCTTCAGCCATCCCAGCACACTATGTGAGGGATTGTTGGCAATGCCATTGCTTAGTTAATGTCCCAACAACCCAAACCTCTTCAAGCAAGTATTTTTGGTAGTACCCAGAGCAGATGCCGTGCTTGTAAGACTGGTGATTCTCATCTACGGAGCAGTACCCGGCAACCACAGGTCTGTTGCTAGACTTCTTTGTGGCATTTTAATAAAACGAGATGAAATCTTAACTTTCCAGCATTAGATATGAGAGAAAGATGCACATTTTCCTCACTTTATTAGTAGTAATTCATTTTATTTTCAAATATCTTCATGTATTTATTAAATATATTTTTAAAATCTGGAGGATTGTGATGATAGTTTGGGTGATCTCTGTATTCTGTTCCTTTTATATGAGATGCAAACAACACCACCTTGAATTGGTAGTTTGGCTGCTCAGGTCTTTGCAGCCAATAGGTTAATACTGAAACTTCTGAAGAAATGTGAGGGAAGATGTTTTAGAGAAATAACTACTTTTCAAAAATATTTCTAACTATTGAACAGATGTTTTTACAGATTAAGAAACATAAGCTTTAGTACTTGATTTGTCTTCTCATTCTATGTCTAAATTCAGAAGGACATAATGATGTAAAAATTCTTCTTCCCTCAGATGTACTTGGGAAAATCAAATTTATCATTTGGATTCAGACACAGTAATGCTGATCCAGACACCTTTAGATTTGCTTAGTAATAAAAAGTTAACTAATCAGTCAATTGAGAAAATCCCAGCTCTCTGATCCTTAAACTGTATTTTCCAGAAAATGATGCAAGTATGACTACAGTACGCCAGTATTTTTTATCATTTCTATTTTCTATCATAGAATGTAGATGTTGAAAGTTAATCTGTCTTCAACATTTTACATATTTTATGCAATTTTAGAAATGGTTGGCATAAGATATATTAAGTACTGGCTTGTAAACTTTGAAAGTAAGATTTATATATGAAAGAAAAAAGTATGAATTTTTCAGAGTAATCTGGCAATTTGTATTGTGTAAGATACAGTGATGACCATGATTCAAAAAAATCAGAATATAATGAGAAAACTAACTGCCAAGGCAAATACTTATTTTAAAGGAATATCTAAATATGTTTAAAACTTTTTAGTTGCAGTTATCCTGTTTTAATTTACTTAAAATTTAAGGACGTGCTTCTGCATGAATGCTTTTATTCTACAGAATAAAATTTTTTTTTCCATTATTTTATCCTATATTTTTCCTTCTCTAAAGGACAGATGCTGTAACCAGCAGTCTTTTGCAGGTGTCCTGTTTTTGTTGACTGTGACAAGAGCAGCTTTGGAGGTGTGTTTACAATGAGTGCAAATGCAGAGCGGAGGTTTGTTAATCTCAGGAAACGTCTGAATCAGCTGGGCTATCGGCACCCACTGGGAGTGGACAGCTTACCTTTGGTGGAAAAGCTTTTCAGGTATTCAAAGGGGATTCATTTAAAAAATAGTAATCATACAGTAGGTATTGTTAGATTTTTGACAGGTTAAAAAGAAGGTTTAATATGAGGGTTGTTTTCTAGCAGTGTTATTTTAGAGCTAACGTTAAGTTCCAGGGTCTGATGAAGTCAAATGGGTTTGCTTAAATTATGGGAACATCTTAAGATTTAATTTAATTCAGTAGAATTGCTTCTAAGGATCTATGGCATAGGAAAATTCAACTTTTCTAACCTAATAAGAGAGACAAGAATAGTTGCTATTGATATTTGCTTAAAAGGACACACTCTCGTAACTGGTTGTATAAAAAATAATCCCTATTGCCTGTCCTGTGGCTTAAAATAAAACATTCACATCTCCATTTATTATGACCTCATTTGGAGAATTTTAAATTTGTTGTCTCTGCCCTTTTTACAAGACACATAACAGAAAAAAGGCAAAAACTTTCAGATTTCCTTCTTATTAGATCTGCTTATTTTTGGCTTTGACATTAGTAATTTCCATAGTAATCCAGTTACATTTGACCAAACACAGAAATGTAGCAATTCTGGTTCTGTTGCTCTCTAGTATGTAATACAGATGGAAGAACATAGGTAAGCAAATATGGAGTCATCTGTCTTCAACATTAAGTCTCATTCATGTGTCTACAGGTAGATTTACTCTCTCCATCACTAGCTTTGATACTTATCATATGTAAACTCCTGATATGCTTTGTAACTATTTTGTTTTCTTTTTTTTTTTTTGTCCTGTTCTTTCCTATTTACTGTTTCTTTTAAACAGTAAAGACACTTCCTGTCTTTCAGTTTTTCTTATATGACATGAATGTTTTGTTGCCTTTGTTTGAACTCATTTGTTCCCCTTCTTGGGGAAAGGGTTTTGTTTCTCAGGTCATAATAAACATTTGCATCTGCAGTGTGAAGGCTGATAGCATTGCTAACACATCTGATGCTCCTCTATCCTAGTGACTTAGTTCATACAACTGAGAGCCTGCGCAAAGCAAAGTTTTCTTCTGGGAAAACAGAGAAAGAGTGCAGCAATTATGATACTATTTTGGAACCTTATAAAACAGAGAATGCTAGACTTACCAGGGAAAATAATGATCTACACCTGGAAATATTAAAACTGAAAGAGAAGTCTGATCGCCATGTTAAAGGTAATATACAAATGAAGATTTAATTTTTTTAATCCTTCCATGCCAAAATAAAATTGTGGCTAAGTCCTTCATCTGCAGATTCTTTTATCTATGCTTTTAAGTGAGTGTGAGTGGTCATGGAGTTTGGTGCCTTTAATGAATTAAGGTTCATGCTCAGACATTTCTTTTGCAGTCATAAAACTTTGGAAGTTCTGCAGATTTTTTTTTCAATAAAATATGAGACTATTAGAAGTCTAATGTATACTTTTGTACCTTGAAATGGTGTTTTTTAATTGAAAATTAAATACTGCTGTTAAATGGGCCTTTGTTCCACAGTAGGTGTTTATTTGTAAAACATGTATAAATATATATTTTTGTGTGTATTTGTAAAAGTATGCACATATGTATGTGTATTTGATAATTTTATGCTATGGAAAAAGAATATTGGATTTTCTTTATGCTTATTTTGGTACTACTAGGAAAAATAGTGAATTAGAGAGATAATACTGCTTTTCTCTCCCTTGAAGATTTGAAAGCTTGCTTAAGGAGGGTTGAACACGAAACAACTGACTTGAAATTTTTGAATAACCAGTATATGCATAAAATTAAAGTGCTGGAAAAAGAGACCAAAGCCAAGACTGAAAAAATTCAGGAGCTTCAGGAGAAGAATTTGCAAGCAGTGGTGCAAACACCTGGTGCGTGTGAATAATCACAGATATTTCAACTTTTTCTGGGCTTTTTTGGATCTTCAGAACATAATATCTTTTCCTCTCGTAAGAGAAGTTACTGTACTGAAATATCCAGTAGAGTAACATCACCCTTTGAAACTTTGGGCTCTGAATTCTGTCATTTCTCTGTCTGAAGTTTCATTAGGTCATCACTTGTGTAAGGGACAAATTTGAATGCAAACTTAGATTCAACTGGAGACTCTTAAGTTAAAATGTGACTAGAAAGCACTGTTAATCAACAGCTATTTCTTTTATTGCTGCACCTAGTTAAGAGACATAATGTTTGTCACTTGCATATTTTTGACAGATAATTGATGTGTAAGTGACGAACTCAGATTTTTGGAACCAAGATCTAAACAGAGCAAGACGCAAAATATGTCTACAAGTATTCCAATCCTCTATAAACTTACAATATTTAAAGGGTCTTTTGATAACTTAAAATGTTCTACATGTTACTTTCAGGTTAATGTCTTTCTCCAGGGTTTCCTTTTTCTTAATTTTTTGAAGCTAAGGAATATAGATTATTTTGTGAAATTTTGAGGCTGTCTTTTTTTTTCCCAAGTCATTGAATTATATATACATTTTTGGCATTTGAGAAAAATCAAGAGATAGCTAGGAAAAATTCAATTTCCTCTTTATTTTTGCATACCTTTTCGCACTTCATGTCCTTTGCTTCAAAGATGACATGTTAGGCTTTTGTCTATCCTTCTGCATACTTGCCCCTTGGTCACCGGTCTGCTAGGATTTTTCTATACTACATCATCCAATATTGCATGTTCTTATTTAACCATATGATGAAGAGATGTTCTATCTGGAAAAAATACTGTGTTTTGCTTTTTTCTAAATATGTTATCATTCAAGCTAATAGCATACTCTGCTTGATAAGCAGTAGGATATGATATTCACTGAAATTAACACAGAGTAGAAAGAATAAAAATACTACTAAGCAATGAATGCAAAGGTTAGTTTGGTCATAAAACAGTTCTTAAATGTTAAAACCAAATGCCTTTTGTGGTGTTTTGATTTAGCTGTTTTAGTAAGCTGAATCACTAACAGCTTCAACAAATTTGAACTATAGAGTATTTGGGATCTTAAACAGTAGGGAAAATTACTTATAAAAGCTTTGTGTGTTTCCTTATTATAATAGTGAATTTTGGCAAAACTGTTACTAACCTGCAAGAATGGTGTTCTCTAGAATATGTGAATTACTTTGTGTGTTTCCTTATTATATTAGTGAACTTTGGCAAAACTGGTACTAACCTGCAAGAATGGTGTTGTCTAGAATATGTGAATTTTATCAGCTTATTGCAGGAGGATTAAAATGGTGAAACATGCTAATTCAGAAGCAGCAGAATAAATAAGAAAATTAATTTTGTATTAAAGAATACTATATTAAAGAAAATTTGTATTAAAGAAGACAACTTTAATTTGCTTTAACTCCAAGTAAAGTGTCTCTGGTTTGGGCTTTTAGGTGGCAGGAGGAAGAGCATTCCCTTCAGGCGGCAGCGCATGCAGATAGACCAGCTTGTGCCCCCATCAGGTGTCAGTGCCTACCCAGTGCCTCAGCCAGAGGACCCTTACATTGCAGACCTGCTCCAGGTGGCTGATAATCGGTGAGCCAGGAGCTTTTTAGCTCTGAAGTGTAGGAGTGTCTTTGAGTCTCACCATTGGTTAGTTAAATTAATCTTCCCCCACTTGAGTCTGTCACTGGTGGCAGTAGTTGGTAGATGGTCTCCCTGTCTTTGTCTTGACCTGTGAGCTTTTTCTTTTCTCCACCATCCTGTTGAGGAAAGGAAGTCAGAGAGCATCTGTGTGGGGGACTGGCAGCCAGATACAGTCAACCTGCTACAATATCTCAAACAACAGCTTCTGCATTAATATTTTGCATGAGCCAAACTATTTCTCTGTGAAATGTTTGGGTTTGGGAGCAAAGATAAAATGCTTGAATTGTGTGCATACAATTCTTCCACGAATTCACATAAAAAATATAGTGCTATGTTTCAGAATTCAAGAACTGCAGTCAGAAGTAACAGAGCTACAGGAAAAACTGGAGACATCTGAAAGTGGAATGAAAAATTATAGCAAACAGGTATGTTTATATCATCAGTAGTAGTGGCATTGTTGTTTCATTATTAATATTAATATTCTTGTTATTATTTGGGTGTCATAGCCATGGTAATGGCCTTGGTGTCTTAAAAATCTTCTTGGGAATGCATTGTAGGGCTTGTGAAATATAATTATTCTAACTTGACTGTGTCGAGCAGTTTGCCTCCTCTGCCTTTGGAGACAGCAACGATAACAAATTCTTGCCCAGTAGTTTTGCTGATAAATTTTGACTTTTGAAATTACATTAAATAATCTAAACTTGACAATCAGAAGTAGAACCTGTCTGCATTTTTTTAGTGTGTAAGTGTTAACTTGTCCAAAATAGCAATTTGATCTACATATATCTTAGGATAGTTTTTTCACTGCTTGGACTGGTTATATTTTTTAAATTTTTATGAACAACAGATTCTATGTTTTAATGAGAGTGGATTGATAAGATAGGTACAATCTTTAAGTAATGGAATTACATCAAATGTTCATATGTTATGTCTTTCAAATCTAGGGGTTTGTGGACACTGTCGTCTTTCTTTTTTCTTCACATCTTGGTTTTCCTCTTCCAATATTTCCTTTTCTCCAGTGACTGGAATAGTCACTGAGTTAGCTTACTTAGAAGTTTTTTCCCTAATTTTAAGTGCTAGTCTCAGTTAAGTTGTAGCATTCGTTAACTTCACTTTAAATCAAAATTGTTTGGTTTTCTTCAAGAATGTAATCTAGTAGGAACTGTTTCAGTTTTTCCTTACAAATTGTGTTTGATTAGTTTATTTCACTTTCAAGGATACAACTTTTTTCAGAAGAACCAAAAATCTAGAAAACAACAACAACAAAAAAATACAAGATAGAAATTGCATTTTTAGTTGTGTACCTTTTTACTGAATGTTATGTGTGTGTTTATTTAAATGAAGGGTCTATTAATGGTGTGTAAGGATATTGGAGCTTTTTTTTTGTCCCTCAAAGGTTGAGATAAGAGACAAAGAAATCGAGCGCTTGATGCTGGCATTGGATGGAGGGCGGTCTCATGAGGTTCTCTCTCTGGAATCGAGAACTAAAAGTAATGAGAAGCTTATTTCCCACTTGAATATACAGGTAATTCATTTATTACAGTTGTTTAGTCAAACCTAACAATATAGCAATCTGAAAAAACCCCACAAAACTTGTAGCTCTTCAAAAAACCACTATAGATATAAAATCAATCGATGGAACTTGCCTTTCTTTTTTTGATGGCAGTGTTTCTTGACTAAAGAAATTTCATTTCCTGTTTTAAAAGTCTGTCAGAAAGGTTTTGTTAAAGAATTCAATGACCTCACATCTGTACATAGTATGTTAATCTGAAAGTATTCAGCAAATTTTTGTATGACACACCGTTTTCAGCAAGTTTGAAAATCCTTTTATTTAGTTAGAAAGTTATTGCATACATGCCATTTATGCTTTAGAAAGTAACAATGTTATATGTAATTATGGTAAGGGGTAACACTGTAGATGTTCTCATGAGAGAGTGGGAAATCTTCCTCATGGATTTCAAATGGTTCCCACTTTGACTCCAACACAAACTTGTGAGGAAAGGATAAGCTTAGGATAAAGGTGTTTGTGTTTACTGTGTGTATTAGCATGCATTCAGTAGTGGTCTCTGAATGAGAATTTAAAGCTGGGCTGGAGTACAAATCACATAAAGCCCATCTCTGGATCTGTACCATCAATTTTTAGGTTTTTCTCACATGAGTTAGCTGTTTTGTGTACTGATTGTGCATGATGTACAGTGGCACATTGAAGAGTTTATTAGCTTTGGTTCAGTGCTGCAAAAATATGGAATGAGCTATGACTTGGAAGGAGGACAGCTGTGCTCAGTGGTCCTGAATTAGTAAATCATGATGAATACAAATTGATTGTACAGGGAGTGAGCCCAGAGCTGCATGAAGCTGGTTTTGCACCATCAAGACTATTTCTCAGGCTTGGTCCCAATATACCACTTTTATTTGGCAAGAAATGTATGGTTGTCTTTAGATAGCAGTATTCATGACTGTGAGAGAGCTCATAACATTGTGTTTCTTTTTCAGGTTGATAAGCATTAAGCTCTAAAAATAGAAAATCTTGGTATTTTTAACATGATACCACGTTTTTACTTTGGATATAGAGATACTGTATTTCAGAAGGTTGGGAGGAACTTTTGCAACCTAACTTAAGAATGCATATTAGTATTTTAATGAAAAAGAATGCATATTAATATTTTAATGAAAAATGTCTTTCAGGTTGATTATCTTCAGAAAAAAAACAAAGAACTTGAAAATCACATTCAAGATCTCTTGGACACTAAACAAAATGTAACTAGTGAGGTAGTGGATTTAAGCAATAAAAATCAAGAACTGTGTCAAGAACTGAATGAAATAGATCACTTGGCACAGCAGTTGGAAAGACACAAAGAAATAGTGCTTGAGACTGCAGATAAGGAAATAGGAGAAGCAAAGGTAATCACTAATGTGTCACAGAGTGACAGATCTGCTGCATTTTACTTGGTTTTATATTTTCTAATTGCAATGAAAGGCTTATTGGCTTGTGAAAGGAAGATTAAAAGGATTTTTTTCCAGTTTTCTTAATATTTCATGGAATTTCTCACTTAAAGTGGATTAATCACAACTATTTTGTACCTTTACTGTATTAGGTTGAGATGATTTTAGTTAAGGGACAATCTGTCCTTTTCATTAGCTTAGTGTGAAATAAAATGCTGAAGTACTTAAAACTATTGCTAGGTAATGCATGTTTGCAACAGCAGTACATATATTTGGAGGGGTTTTTCCTATGAGGAGTGATGCAGTGTTTCATTTAATTGTTGTGCTCCCAAACAGTGTGGGTGTTTATATCATAACTTTTTTGTGCTTTCACTTCGTAGGAGCTTTACCACTTTATTACAAGGAACTAACTATACTTCATTTCTTACCAAAATAGTCTGCTTCCTTATTTTTTTGTAACAAAGGGATTTTTGTCATTTTGAATCATTTTGAATAACTCTTAACATATAGGTTAATTTTGGTTGATAGAAAGAAATTGAAAGAAAAGTCAATGAAATACAGGATCTACAAGAAACAATAACAAGGCTTAAATCAGTAAGTAAAAATATTTTCAGTTCTTGTTTGTACCCTTTTTATCATGCTGTCATCCACATAATTGTTTCATTTATTATAAAAGAAATCAATTTAACAATTAGCAAGAAAACTTCTTTAGTACCCTGAACCTTTGATGTAAAAATTACTAATTAATAAATGAAAGAGCTAGAGAAGCTACATCATATTGTTGAAAAAATAAACTGAAAGAAATCTCTCTAGACAGTATGGTTGACTATGTCCTTATTGTACATTTCCTTATTTCTGCTGTCTGAAGTCATAATTTCCTGGTGACATAATCTCTTTTACCACTAATGAGTTATTACATCCTCGAGGATTTTCATTGTTTTGAAACTGCTTTGTCTCTTAATTGGGATGTGAAAAATTATCCAATACTTGGCTCACTCAGAAACAAAGCATAGGGCCCAGATGGAAAACATCACTATTATCAATTCTTTGAAGACCAAACTCTTTCTAGCATATATGGCAACTTGTGTATTAGCTGAGTACAATGTTTTGTTTTAGTCTATCTAGGGAGCTTGCAAATACAAAAATACTTAATTTTCAGGACATCAGATTATAGGAAAGGTGTGCCAAATAGCATTTGATTGGCTTCAGAGTTGCAGTGACTGAGATGCTGTATTGTAATGCACTTTAAAACCAACACTGTTACCAAATGCACTTAAAATTATTTCTTGCTTTAGTAGTTAAATTTTTTCCCATGTTTGTATCCCACTATTCTACTGGTTGGTTTGCTTTTCTTGTTACTGCTTGCAAACCATGTAAAAAGTAATGCTTACTAAGACTTAATAAAATAAATACAATGATGGCCTGCCACAAATATTAAAGCATAAAAGATCCAGGTCAACCAGAAGTAAACAGTGTTGTATATTAAAAGCTTATCAAAATGTTTCTTTTTCCCCCAAATGTCTCTATTGGTACTTCTAATTTTTATAATAATGCTTGTTACTTCAGGATTTGTGCTCGTGTCATAAGGAGAATGAGAGACTGAAAGAAGAACTCTTTGGGAAAAAAGATGAAAAAGGGCATCTTGAGCTGTTGTTAAACCAGCTTCAACAAGAGAAGCAAAGGCTGACAGAAAAAACAGAGAATTTAGAAAGAAAAGGTAAATCATCAACCGTAGATTCTTGGAAACTACCTTTCTGTAATTTTTGAAATAGAATACCTACCTAGTTAACATACAGTTAATAGTACTAAAAGACCTTTAAGACATATATAAATTAAAAGAAGACTGTAGGTCTCCAGTCATAGTTGAAGTGAAAATTCTCGTCATAGAAAGATGTTTTCATTCTGTATGTGAGAACTGAAAGTTGAGCTTTTTAGTGTGATCCCTATCCTCATTCTTATCCTAATTCTGTGGCAGTTTCATGCAAAGTAATTTCCAAAACTCTTCAGACTCCATTTCTTGAGAGATTTATCCATCTAGGTTTTGAAAACCTCCAGGGATGAAGATTCCACACAATCTCTAATGTTCTTCAGTTGTCAGAGTAAAATATTTTTCCCTGTATTACAATTGTTTGTAATTGCTTGTAGCAATTAATTGCCACTGTTCCTTATTTACCTACATAGTAAATAGAAACTGGCTCCATGTTATCTGTAAGTCCCTTGTCAGTGCCTTGTCAGTCTGCCCTTGGCTCTCCAGCACTTCTCCAGGCTGAATAAACCCAGTTCCCTCAGCTATTCCCCATAGAGCAAGCATTCTGCTGCCTGACCAGCTTGCAGGGCTTGCCTTGGATTAGTTTATCTACATCTTTCTTGCTGTAGAAGGGGCAAACCTTAAAACAGTATTTTAAGTGCAATCTCCTGGGTGCTAAATAAAGGGGAATAATCACGTCCCTCTGTTGATAGAGCTCAAGGTGCTGTGAGGCCTCTGATGGTTTTATGCTACTCACTTGTGTTTAGCCTTCTTTAGCCTTTAGAACTCTTACATCCTGTTCAGCAGGATTGCTGCCTACATGGTTGGTAGGCAAATTAATCCATCCTAAATGCCAGTGTCTTTGAGGAAATTCATGACTTCCCTATAGAGTTGCTTTTCTTTCTTCTTTCTTTTTTTTCCTTCCAGAACGAGAACTTGTCCTAGAAATTGAAAGAATGAGATTGGACTTTGGTATTGCCTTAGGAGACAAATCTCCATCACGTCTGGATGCATTTGTGAAGACCTTAGAAGATGACAGGGACTACTATAAGCGAGAATTGGACTATCTTCAGAAAATGGTTAAACTGAGGCCTAGCCCAAGCCGCAGGACTGCAGAGAAGGTAAAGTTCTTGCTGTCAAGATAAGTGAAAAAAATACTGTAGAAACAATTAAGAAGCCATCAAATATATTTTCAAATTCAGTGGCATTAAATGACTGTAGTAGTTTTCTAAATTACATTCTTGATGCAAAAAATCAACTGAGAGAAACTCCAAGGAACTTGCCTTTTTCTTTCCTTGTCACATTTTACAGTAACACTGATTACTTATTGATCAGTTTATTGAAATGAATAGAACTAGATAATAATCAGAAAAAGGCTGAAATCTTATGGCTAGCTCCTTTGGTTTTTCTTTTTAACAGCTGGTTCTTGATGTTTAGATTACACCACCGGTGCCAGGCTTTTTCTTGTGATTAAAATTATTTTGAATATATTTTTTATGTATTGCTAATAGGAAGAGTTCTTTTCTGGTATTAATTTTTCAGATATTTTAATTAGCAAATTTTAACATGAATTTATTGATTACTTTTCAGAGTGAAGAGCTTAAATCAATCACCAGAGAAAGAGATGAGCTGCGGTCTGTGTTAGACAGATTTGAAAAGCATATGATAGAAATTCAGTCCAATGTCAAATTATTGACTGCAGAAAGAGACAGATTAAAAGTTCTTTATGAGCAGGTAAGAAGAAAATGTTTATAGTTAACATTGAAATGACCAATTAATATTTCTTGTACTGTTGGTTATTTTAAAATGAAAAACCTAGTAGAACACAACCAAGGCTAATAAAATACATACCTGTTTTTATTACATGTTAATAAATTATGTATTCTGGTTAGTTTATTAACTTGAAAGCTATTCAAGGTTATTGTACTCTTATGTTTAAGTTATAAACATAAGGAAAAATCAGTAGAATGCATGAGAAGGTTGTGTAAAGATACAGCAAGGGAGCAAGAAAGGAGTAGTTAACTGATAAGAGAACAGTGAAGTTAGGCTATACTTGGGACAGTAAAAGAAAATCAGGATGATTATTTTGACAGCGTAAGTTGTCATGCCACTGAGTGATTTAGGGACTATATTTTAGTTATCTAGGGAAAAATAGGACTATTCTGTAATTACAGCATTTTGTTAGTGTGTACACTATAATGCAGTCCATGTATGCTAACAAACTATATTCTTTTAAAGTCTCAGAGTGAATTGAACAGGATGAGAAGAGAAGCAAAACACAGCTTTGTTTCTCAAAGTCACATAGAAGAAGAAAGAGACATTGCACTGACTGACTTTCGAATGCTAATGGCAGAAAAAGAAAGTCTTGGAGAAAAATTAAAGGTGAGCTTTTATAGCTTCATTGCTTACACTGAGGTGGCATATGGGGAAGGGTTATACCATAGTGCTGTGTTTGTGTTTGACTGTCTATCAGTCCCCCTTTTCAGTCCAATAACTTTGGATTTCAAACTCACTTAAGGGCTCAATGAATTTATATGATTACAAAATATCTATTGTTATTATTGTTACTGTTGTTATTATGAATTACAAATTTTCCTGTAAACACAGTCCCAAGCATGGGTAGAGGAACATGCTTTAAAGTATTTAAGGGCAAACATGTCATCACCTTGTGTGGGAGACCTAGATATGGAGGCCCAGCCACAGAATACTTCTTGCATATGCACTACTTTGAAGATGTTTGAGTGTCATTGCGGTGGAAGAAATCATGCACTTCACTCACAAGAGAGAAGCAACAATGTATTTTATTCACTTCAGGCAGTGAGTTTCAAAAATTCACTGGTAGATGCAATGGTGGTTTAACAAGATTTGATGGTAAGGTACATTTGAGTATTTGCTGCATAGAGGCCAAGGTCAGACAAAACTGTCAGGGAGACCTTCCCATTGAGTCATGAGGTTCAGAAGGGTCTTCTTGCCTTCCAGACTCCTCAGAGGGGTGGCTGGATCCATTCTTGGTGAATAGTTTCTGTCTCAAGGATTATAACAATCGTTTATGTCACTAAGCTAACACTTCAACATTTCAGTGCTCTCATTCCCAGCTCATTAGCTGAGTATGAGATGCAATAGGGATTCTTTCCCCCTTAACAAGTATCCTTCAGAAGCTCCCCAGCTCAAAGGAAATGGTGTGCAGCCTGCTGCCATGCAGGAGAGCTCAATGGGCTGTGGGCCATGCTCTGTTCATGGATTTTGATGATTGACTTCTATTTGCAGCACTATTTCAGTAGCCACATGCTCAACTAGCCCTCAGCTGCTGCCAGGCAAGACTTACAGCCCTTAGCTATGTGCTGTTAGCTCTCATCCCACAGTCTTCCTTAATCTGGATGCACCTATCAGGAGGGCCACTAGTGCTTAACCAAAAAAAAAGAAAAAGAGGGGGGTGGGGTGGAGCACACTGTCACAGTCACCTATGGTTCTTATCCTACAAACTGGGGATTATATGGACTTTTTCATTTTTGCTGATCTTTAGTTACTGTTGCATTTTTTAGCAGAGTACATTTTAAATGGCACATAACTGAACCATGAAACAGAAATTCATTGCAATCCAAGTGTCAGTATTTTTGACCTTTAAAGAATGTTTGTTAATGCAGTGATTTTCCTGTTACTATGATCTTGACATGCAACCCAGGAATGTGGTGGAATCACCAGCCCTGCAAATGTTCAAAAAGCATGTGGATAAAGCACACAGGGACATGGTTTAGTGTTGAGCATGGCAGTGCTGGGTTAATAGTTGGACTTAATGTCTTAGAGGTCTTTTCCAACTTAAATGATTCTATGGTTCTATGACCGTGTGATGTCTGGTATTAATGTGCATTAATGGTTGTAGTCAAGAGCCTATGATTTCAGAGGATTTGTTTTCTTGCCTTCTTTTTGAAAATCATTTTAATGGACTTATTCCAGGACAGCATATGTCACTGGTGATTGTATGATGAATGCTTCCACAGTTTGATTTTACTACCACAAAAATAAAGACCTGTTGTGTATCTGAATGCAGTGGTAGTAAATCTGACCTCTTTGCTTAAAGCATGTGCATGCAGTAGTAGAGATGTGTTTCCAGCTCCATCCTTTCTTCTAATAGGTGACTACCAATGTTTTATATGTGTGCCACTTTGAAATACCTTTACAAAAACATTAATCTAAGGCATTTCTAGGAAGTGTGAGAGTTTGTTTCAGTTATGCACACAAGTCAGGGAATAGATAAGTAATCTTTAAAGGTTTCTTCATAGATATAGGGAAAGGTCAGTTATCTTTGTAGTGTGCCTTGCATGTTGTAATGAATAATATTCGAATAAATTTATTTAAAATGTCTTAGGGCACTAAGTTATACATGCATGCAACCTCATGTAGCTCAGTAAACTCTACAACAACTCACAAATATTAATTTGGTTAGGACCAAATATAAATATACTATTTAAAAAAATCTAAACCAAGAATCAAACCCAAAATCAGTGATGTTATATTAAACTACAGTAATGTATTTTCAGCTAATGTTCTGTAGTTTTACAGAGAGAGCTTTGCATTTGGTCATTCATCTAAGAATGTAAAGCAATATATTCTGAAACATAAAGCTTAAATTTCTCTGATTAAATCTAAAAATGTCTGTCTTGTTACATGTAATTTTATATTTCTCAGATGCATCAAGAAGCAGCGTACCATGAAAAATCAAAGCTGCAGCATGATATTTCAGAATTGGAGAATAATATTCAAGGAGTAAGTGCTTTTTTAGGAAGTAAGCTTTTATTATTTCTAAAATAGGATGGACTGTTCCAGAAATTATTTTTATATCTGTTTTCAACTTAAATTTATTTAAAAGCTAAGTTGTTATAGCTTCCTGCAATAATAACCTTTGGGTATTTATTTTAAATTGCAGCTTCAGATTGAAAAGGGTGAACTAAGGACTACAGTCTCTATCCTGAAAGAAAGAATAAACTATTTGGAAAATGAATTAAATCTGAAGTCAAGTAAACTTGCCCAGACTTCTGATGATTCTTCTCAATTTAAAGCTGAGATTTGCTCACTTCAGTAAGTCTGATACAAAATGTGGTGATCTTTTACAGATGCTAGAATAATTCTGTTTATTCTGTGACTGTATAGCAGAGTTGAGTTCCTGGGAAAGACTATAATTATAAATATTTTAAAAATCACTTGGTACAGCTTGTATGTTAAAGAAAAGTAGGTGTGAGTAAGGAAAGTGCTGTGGTAGCTTTTCACAGCAAGCTTCTCCTGGACTTAGTTGATGACCAAATATACTGATAATCCTTATGGCTCATTCTAGAATTGTTTCCTCCAATAACCATATTTTCTGCTTATGAATGTAGCAGAACTGAAAGTTTCTAAAGGGATCCCCAAACTCTGTTCAAAAGAAGACAGATGCCTTTGCAAACTGCAGCAGTAGGACCTACAGTTTTGAGAATGATCCATAGACACAGTCTGTGGGGATTGGACCAGCTTGCTTAGAACTGGAGGATTCAAGTATCCTCATGTATTTGTAAGGCCTATTTAAACTTGCAGGATCATTGTGCTTTTTTAAACTTGCTTTAGTAAAGAGCTCCCATCAGGTGTCTAAATGTCATAGAACAAGAAAAAGGCTTAGAGAAAGTGAAAACAGTATTGAACAGTATTTGAAAACAGAGGTGGAAATGAGAGCTGTTGATGTAAAAGATCACTACAGGATGGGTAATGCTGTAGATGACATTTTTTGGATATTTTATAAGGGAAACCAGGGTCTGTGGGGTATCCCCTGTTCCCCATCTGAGCATTACCACACAGCACCTGGGGGATTACTGGGAAGAACTGAAGCTGAGCACCAGGCCTTGCAGTTCATCTAATGCTCCCAGTTGACAAAGAGGACAATAATAAATATTAATAAGTCCTATTAGGTTCCTATAATTTCAGTGTAAAGCAGTGATATTGCAAAAAGAAGACAATGAAGAGTAGGGCTACATTTATTTTAGCATTTGATTTTAATTTGTGTGTGGTGGAAATGCTGTGTTTGCCCCTTTGCCCTTTTTTTCCTCTCTCAGATTTCACTTCAAAGTGGATGAAAGCAATCTTTATAGAGACATTCTGTATTCTGCATTAGTGAGGTCTTTTAAGAATGAAATCTCTAGTTTTTGTGGGATCCCACTTGACAGGGATTTTTTCTTTACCTGTTTCATAAATAATCCATTTTGTTACTTTGGACTTTGGTGGTTTTTTTTTTTTCTAAGTCACTTTGATATTTCTTTCCAAGAAAAACAACTGTGTAGGTAGATGATTTCAAATATCTTTCAAGCTCTTTATTTTTTAAAAGTAGGATCAGAACTGTAGCTGTCTATTTGGTTGTTTCTTAAAATGTGGTGGGGCTGATAATCACTGCTATGAGCTCCATATCAAAAACTTTATAAAGCAAGAGTCAAAAGATACAAGTAGCATTATGAAGAGTAACAGAAATAAGAGGAGGTAAATGTTTGTGGCTAAGGTGGTTGCTCCACCAAGGTTCCATTTCTCCATTTTGCATTGATGTTGAGGTGGACTTGAAGCAGCAGTCCAAGTGGTGTTGGCCTCAGCAATCCTCTCTCTCAAGAGAGATGATGGTTAGTATGGCACAAACCCTTGCTGCTGGTTGGTGATACAGCCCTGTCAGGAGGTTATGCTGGAGCTCTTCCAGCACTTGAAGCAGCTTAACAGCAGAAGTTGAAGACCCAGAATAAATTCCAAGCTTCTTTCAACTGTATACTCATTTTTCAGGCTCTTAAATGACCAACAGCAGAAGTCTATTGAAGATTTACAGCACAGATTGTCCCTCAAAAAGGATGAACTACTGGCAGCTCAAGATGAAATTATAAAGCTGAAAGAGATAATAGGTAATCTATAACTATTTTTGTGCTTATTTCTCGTTTTTAAAATAGAAAGCACTTACTCTTTTGTTTTTAGATAGGTTAAACCAGAGGAGCACTTCACAGGAAGAAGCAGTCAGTGTGCTGAGAAGTACCATTAGTGTTTTGGACAAAGAAAAAGACAGTCTTCAAGAAACTGTAGATGAAAAAACAGAAAGAATTGCATGCTTAGATGACAACTTAGCTAACAGGGTATGTCCAGTAAAAGTACTATTTTGCATTCCACCTGGGGGTTTTTAAAGCAGTTATGTTTTAGGGAGATGTTTTGCCTTGATGACAAAGTCTGTGCAGAGCACATAAACACTGTGCTTGGACCCAGTGCAGAGTCATGTGCCAACTCAATAGAACTTTAATTATGAATGTTACTGTATTCCCTAAATACTCCAAGAAAATAAAGAAGCATTTGTTTGCATTTTGCATGTGGAGATATTTATGATATCTATGATTTATGATATTTATGAGATATAAAGTACTAGCCTGAGATGACAAAATCTATAGCTGACTTCCATCCTTCCATCTATTTCAGTGACAAGACAATCCTTTCTCAGTAAAGAAAATAAAATTGGAAATTATTTATTGGTGCAGAACTAAGATGAAGATTTACATTAAAAGTTCTTTAATGAAGTGTCCTCTTATATTGCAACATAATAATACCTAATACAGCTTTTAATTATTTTTCATAGGAAAAAACAATTGCTCATTTACGTTTAACTGTCTCTGAGCTGGAGTCCTCAACAGAGTAAGTAAAGAGTAGGATGCCTTCTTTGGAGGTTTTGTTTTAGGCAGTAGTTTCAAAGTGAAAGTAGATGGCTATTTTAGTTATTTTGATGAAATTAAGCTAATTCCATTTGAGTCAAGTAGAGGAGTGCACTGTGTTGATAAAGATGTACTCAACTTTGGAAGGCACTTCCTCTGCAATTATATTGCAGGCTGCTAAGAAGCTGTTGCAACAATCATTAACAGTTGCTTGTTTGTATTAATTTCCTTAAACTGGTAAGGTTTCCTAACTCTTGGTAAAGAAGTAGTTTTCTAGCACTCCACTAGGTATTAGATTGACCCAGGTAAGATTCAGAGCTGAATTCTTAATGATTGGCAATCTAATTCTTCGAGCTTAAGTACAGTCTTAAAATGTATTTATGTAATTTTTAGCTGGGCTTCCTGTGATCTTTCATTCTTTCCTCTTTTTAAGTGTGACTTTTTAAACTATAGCATCTTAAAAGCAAAAATTTAAACACCAATATTTAAATATTTGAAGACCAATGTAACTGAATATTTGCTACATTGATGCATGATCTATATGTGTCAAAAAAAGATAATGCAAAAGTTCACCTAAGTTTATGGATATTTTTATTTCTAATTTTTTGTTTATTCTTTTCATTACTCTTTTGATAATTGCCCTTCAAGTGTAAATTATTTGTCTTCTTCCATATGGCTTATAAAATATGCAATTACCATAATCACTACCAAACACAAATAAACCTAAGTATCTAAAATTGCTCTTTCTCTAATAAGATACATCTTACCAGATACATCTTCAAAACTGAAGATTAAATCCATCTTATTTCTGCATATTGACGTTTTCCATACTTAGTTTACATTATATTTAGACTCAGTTTGTCGTCATTCAGAGAGCAAGAATTTTATCTGATTATTTTCAGCAGCGTGTGGTATAGTAGAAGAAGGGACAGCTTTAATAATGTTTTCACTTGATAGCCAGATGCAGGACAGGCTGAGCAACAGAGACCGTGAGATTGCCAGCTTGCATCGCCAGCTCGACACATCCCAGCTAGAGCTTGCAGAAATGGGAAGAGTGAAGGAAATGGCTCTGAAGGAAAACAGGCGACTGCAAGATGACCTGGCTACAATGGCCAGAGAAAACCAGGTATGAAGACAGTATGTGATACTGATGTATTAAATCCTTTATTGCTTGCTTGCATCAAAACTGCTACATCCTCGCTTTTGATGGAGGTGTTTAATTATTGGCATTTCTTGAGCCCTGGGATGTTGAAAATCACTGGGCAGAAATTGTAAAAGCAATACTTCAGATACCTAAGTGTAGTCAATGCAGTGAGGGAGAAGTGGGCAAGCTTGCAGTTGGTAACCCTTCCTCAGATTAAAAAAGAAATCTAAATAAAATAAATCTAGAACTTTATAATATAATGAAATTATGTTAATTGGTTATATCACTTGCCATCGGTATTTAATTGGTAAAGATTGGGTGTTATTATCTGTGGAAGTGATTATTGAGAGAGGGAAAGAAACTCCAAAAGCAGACAGCAGATTATCAGGTGAAAGTGAGAGAGAGAGGAAGGAGATTGATGGCACATCTGAATTTGTTCTGGTGCAGTGATTCATTCATTTCATCCATCTAGTTTCCTTGGAGCATTGGATTTATTGAGTGAGGTATGCCATATTTTAGATTAGGGTGTTTTGGAAATTAGGGTTGGAAGAATAATGAGTTGGTTTCATGCAGCAGCTTGTTATTGCTGACCAAAAGCCTCCCAACTCCAAGTGCATGACATGGATAATATATAACCAAAATGTTCAGTGTTTTATAGGGTAAGTAACCAAAATGTTCAGTGTTTTATAGGGTAAGTTCAGTGTTTTATTGGGCTGAGCATTAGAAAGTCTTTGTAGAGGGCATGTGAGAGTTGTCTTAAGAGTGAATCTAGAATTTTGTTGCAATTCATTACATACAACTTGTATAGCAAATAAGCTCCTTGTGAGGTTCAAATACCTTTTAAAATTTTCATCCTGAGATACAAATGTTTGTTTGAATTCACTCTAAGTGCCAACACTAAAAACAATCAGGACATTGTTAATGAAACCATCTATTTCAATCCCCCTCAGTCACCCCAGCTGAGTCTGATGCCACAAAGTTTAATATAGCAACATGTTTCAAGGAAGTGATGTAGGACCTTGAATAGTTCTTGCAAAACCTATAGTGCAATATGTAAATATGTGGATGTATTATTGAAATCAGACCTACTCTTTACAGGTGCCTAATAAGATGAAATATTGAATATTATAATGTGATGATGATGAAAGTTTTCCCAGTGTTTGGGGAGACTACCACAGAGATAGGCAGACTGATTTTAGCATATGTTAAATAAGGCATACAGTATAAAGGCTAATGAATAGTAATATACCACAAAAAGAAGAAGGGGAAGAAAAAAGGCAGCAGCTTTTATTTCCCCACATTTGATCATTAAGGTAGAAAAAGATACTTACAGTTTTGGCTCTCTGGGCTAGAGGATTCAGAAGGAGAAGAGAGCTGAAGCTGAGAGGGACAGAACTAGCAGTTCAAATATCTCAAATAAATTCCATGGTGCATTTTTGATGTTTAAATATGATCTTAGTAGTGCATTTAGTTATTTTGTCTTGCAATTCTACTTTAAAATAAATGTTGTTTTGTTAGAAAGTTGGCTTTCTATTGATCTAAAACTTTACTCGGGCATACTGAATCTTAAAGCTATAAAAATTCCAGCTCCCAAACATCAATATTTCAATTTTTCCCAAGATCAGTGGGGTGTGTCATCAGGGAAGCTGCATGTTTTATGAACTGGTGGGATAGTCATTGTTTATTGTGATGATTCTTGCCTGGGAACTCTTTGGTGTATCTAACGTAACAGGGGATATTTCTGAACCCTACAAATCCCAAAGAGCTCTGTAAGTAGAATAGAAAAAAAATCTAGGGCATATGCAATTACTTTGATTTAATCTGAGTATTATATAGTAATTAATTTACTGCAAAGCACAATTTTGCCTTTATGCAATCTCTCTAGGCTATCAGTACCGAGCTTGAAGATGCAATACGTGAAAAAGAAGAAATGAAAACCAGGGTTCATAGTTATATAACTGAAGTCTCCAGATTTGAGAACTTGATAGCTTCAAAGGTAAAAATATAATCTATAGGCAGTCATTACCACATTCAGTAAGACAAAGTAAGAATTGCATGGTTTGGGTGCTGTTCTCCCTGCCTGTCCCATTTCCTTCTTTTGTTTTTCCTTATTTTCTCTTCAGTGTTTAATGCTACTAGTGGGGGATTCATATAATACCTTGTTAGACCTAAAGCACTGATTAATTCTAGCACATCACAATTTCATGGATCATGTTTCAGTTGGCCATAATGCTGGAGATTCAAACATGTCATGTTTGAATGTTATTTTGCTTTTTGGGTTTTGACCAGGCAATTAGTAAAATAACAGGTACTGTTTCATGATTATAGGCAGCAAGCAGCTTATACAATGATTTTAATTATTTTGCCCTTTTGGAAAAGAAAAAAAAAATTATCTGTTCTGCATAAAATTGTAAAAATAGTACTGTTAAAATAGTGCTCTGGTTAAATGTCCTTTATCCTGATGCTTGGTTTCATAAGCATGATATACATGAGTTAAAACTTAAGATCATTTAAAACAAGTAGGATTTGGGTCAAGACAACATGAACTGGCAGATTTATAATGTGACTTTAAATTTGGAAGAATTAAGTTTTGATTTGACTTCAACTTGCATGTCTAAATGAATGCATGTAAATTCAACCACTTTTTAGAAGTAGAAACTGAAGCATGGATAAAAAGTTAAGGTAATTAGTAGGTTAGCTTAGAACTATCAATCTAAAATATTTGAAGTTTATTTTTTAAGAATTTTACAATATATCATGTGTTCAAAATACTTCAGCTACAGATGTGGCTACGTCTTTGGCAAATGATGTTGAATAATCTAGTTACTCAAGTTGGGTACCAGGAAGCTATGGAATACACAGCAAGCAACCAGTTATGAATGCTTGATTTCAGGGATTTTTCTAGTATTATATCTGGGTAATGCCTGTGGAGACAAGGATTTACTTTTCTGCACAGCATTCACTTGCTAAGTCTCAGGTTTCTATTTCCTAATGCTCCCCCTGATCCTGTCTGCACTTCCAAGTTCTGCAGGATACACAGAAGGGATTTCAGAAACTGTTGCCTTTCTCATTAGATTTTTACTGATTATAAACCTGCATATCCCACTGCACATTATGTGAGCAGGGAATGGAGGTAAATAAGAAAAATTTATCCCTGCCTTATAATCCATACTTGGCCAAAGTAAAATTCACAAGCAACATTTGTTCTATCACTGCACAAATGGTGAGCACCAAAGCTTGCATTTTTGTACCTCTGTGATAGACTCCTTAGTTGTATATACTCTAGTAGATTACCAGTGTTTCAGGCACTGCTGTAATACAAATATTAATAACAGTAAAGTAACTAAAAGAGCTGAAAATGGCATTTCTTGGAAAGGGCAGCATGCAGTGTATCTCAGTAATGTGACCCTTGAAAATGCAGAGAGATCCAAAATAACCTCTCTCCTGGGAGCCTTAAAAGTCATTAGCAACTCCCAAGTGTAACTCCATTTTAATAAAATTTAATGTCATAACTGTATTTATTTGCTATTTGGACTTGGAAAAGGGATGATGAATTTTAATAGCTGCTGGATAGTGGGATTAAGAAAATGAAGGAAGTTCTGCTTTCTACGGGGGAGAAAAGGAAGAGATATTGTAAGGAAAAGGCATGAAATGAACTCAGACAACTTGAGGGTATGTTGATCGTTGCAGAGCAATTTACTCTTTCATTAGGAAAAAGAAAACCAGGAATTGTTAGAGAAGTTCCGGATGCTCCATACACAAGCTGAAGGCTGGGAAATGAAGGCTCACCAAGCTGAAGGAGAAAGCAGCTCCATACGACTGGAACTCCTTTCAGTAGATACAGATCGGAGACATCTTCGAGAGAGAGTAGAGTTTCTGGAAAAAGAGATTCAAGGGGTAATTAAAGTACAATGTATGGTTTAATGTAAAGGTACATTAAAGTCAATGTATGGTTTTTAACACCTTAATGGGAAATAATTTCTATACGTGAATATTTCAAATATGAACGCTGGAGTTTTTGAAACAGTACCTGATCAGTTGCTGTTAGTTTAGATGTGCTTTGCTTTGCTTCACCCCTGCTTGCCCAAAATTAAAATCATGTTTTCATAGTTTTAGATCTCTTCTGTTAGGTTATCACTGTTACTATGACATTGTAAGAAACTTTTCTTTAGTTGCTTCAGAACATTTGCATATAGCTTTATGAGTATTTTGCAAGCTTAGTTCTTATGTTTCTTTGAAGCTTTAAATGAAGTATTTGAAGCATTGATGGCTGAAGTCAAGGTAAAAATCTGGTAGACATCCAAATTCAGAATCAGAATTCCATAATACTGCATCCTAGACCACTATCATAGAACATAATGAGGTTTATATTTTAGAAGCAATGAGAGAAGTTCTAAAGAAGTTCTAGAGCATAATTGTGGTGGATTGACTACATTTTGTCCCATACTTTTAATTAGCTAGAAAGAGTTAGAGACTATATTGTAAGCTGAGTTAAAAAACAGGTTGTATGTTTGGGGTTTAAGCTTTTTAATTCTTGTTCCACCCTTTTATAGTACTCAAGTTGGTGATTAAAAATTGCAGAGATGGTTTATTAGTTGCCTTTAGCTATGTTTTAGGGAGAGGGAAGGAATATTAAGTTAATTTTATAGGGAAAATAAAGTGTTAAAAAAATAGGTTATTCAACAGGAAAATCTTAAATTTAACACTGAAAATGTATCCATATTTGGTTTTGTTTAGCATATTGTTGCACATCAAGTATATGAATCTCAGATCTCCTCCATAACCAAAAATATGTCCAGATTGGAAGAGGATCTTAAACGTGAAAATCAGGATAAGGCTTCTGTGTTGGCAGACCTCACTTCTGTGAGAGAACTCTGTGTGAAACTTGAGGCTAGCAAAGAACTTTTAGCTCGACAGCTGACGTCCAAAAGCATGGATTATGAAAGGGTAAGCAGCAAAGGCAAATTTAATTTGCTGTAACAAAGTAACTTCCTTTGCTTTTAATAAGTTTTGGAGAAAATAATTGCTTCTTAGAGCAAGGTAAGTTAATTTACATCATTCGTTTTGTGTTTTTATATAAATTATAAATTTTGCAGTATACAGATCTGTAGCTGTGGGTGTTGTATAAAAAGAGGGAGTTTCTTTGATTCATTATCACTACAAAATGTTGCAGGTGTAGTTTTAAGTTGTACCACAGACAGATTATATATATATTTCTTTTTGGGTTTTTAATTTACTCAAAGTTTATATAAAGCAAATAGTGCACTTCTTATTTAAATATTAAAGACCCTAATGGCTTCTTTTCAATTAGGAAATTTAGATACATCTGGAATTCATTGAATATTTTGAAATAGTTTAAAAAATTCTAAATATTCATATTTTCTGAGCCTTTTTCTTTACAGCTGATTTTGTCTTCATTTAGTGGCTTGGTCAGCCTTTCTGTGACTGTAATATTCAAGACCTCGAGAACAGTAAAATTTGTTTATATTCACAGAACTGAAGAGGAAAACAAGTATTCCTACATTTTCAGCAAAAGCCAAGAGGCTAATTATGAGCTGACCTAGTCAAATAGAATGAAGTATAGTAAATACTATTTTTGTACTTCTGTAAAATTCTACTGTTTAAAGCCAATTCATGTTCAAGGTACTCAATAATGGAGCTCCCAGTAAAACATTTGATAGATGTACAGCTTGAATAGTTTTAAATTAAGTATAGTTTAAAAGAATTGTAGGCTTTACATTATTTCCTATTCTTTTTTATGAAACTTCTGTTCATTTCAGTTTTTGTAACAACTCTTCACAAAATAAAATTCTCTGTCTTTGTAAATTAGTGTACTAATAACCTATAAAATTTGTGCCTTAGGTTCTAGGAGAATTAGAAGATACAAAATCAGAAGGAGAGTTGCTGAAAAAGCAGCTATCCAGTGAGAGACTTACAGTTCAGAATCTTGAAACATTATTGGCTACTAGTAGAGACAAAGAATTTCAGAATCAATTAATGTCCCAAGACAAAGATACCGAAATTCAGTTACTGAAAGACAAGCTGACCCTGGCTGAGAGCAAACTGTAAGTTTTAATAAATGTGTGTGTGTTATGTGGTTTGCAAAAGCATATTTCAATATGACAATGCTTATTCACAAAATCTGGGTGTTTAGTATGGCTGAGCAAATTTTTGCAGGAATGTCTTTTGGCCTTTTATGGCATCATTTACTTAAAATTTCTTTACAGGTCTTTCATATTGCTTTCAATTAATCAGGACTTTGGTAGACATCAGTTTAGTGCAAGCAGTAAAGTCAAACAGGAGTTCCAAAGGAAACATCCTCTACACAAAATTTCAACATGTGTTTAGTGTTCACAAAAAAACCCCAAGTATATTAAATTCATGGTAAATGTGAATTGCTTATCTACTGAAGATGCCTGTTGTCCTTGCTTTGATTACATAAATCATTATTACATAATGATACATACATTTTCACTTATATAATAGTGAAATATTTAGTGAAATAAATAGTGAAATAAATAGTGAAGTCATAGTGCTTTTAAAAAAGCAAAAGTACTTTTGCTGCTGTTGATATTAACTGTTGTGGAGAAAGTCCTGTGTCACTTATTCCTTTGAAATACAAACAGAACTAAACCTGACACCTCCACTAAATGTGGCCAGCAACAACTTCTGCTGTGGATGTGCCTAAAGAAGCAATAACTGTTAGCAGCACTTGTATATAAGAAAGACTGATCTCTTTGAAGCAATGAAGTTAAGAGAGGAGGTACTTTGTGTATGTGAAATTCTCCTAAGGATACATCAGCAGGAACTAGTGGTAGCTCTGCATTAAATAGCAAGAAGGAGGAGTAGCAGCCGAGTGCAGATGGTGATGAAGAGTAAAGTCAAAGCAGAATTTCAGATGTAGAAATCCGCCCGTTTAGTAAACACTAATGTAGGAAGAGAAAGGAAATGTGGAAGTTAATGGAACAGGCAATACTCCTCATGAGATGTGGCATATAGCCCACTTAAACTGTCTGGAACTTGGTGACACAGATATGGAAGAAATATGCTTTTGGTTGATTTATGTAGAGGCTACAACTTGTGATAGCTTATGATGGTCCACCTCAAGTAGCAATGTTCTCAGTGAATCTGGAGATGATGACATTGTTATTGCCCTGTGCAAGTAATTGCTTCATGTTTTAGTATTGTTGATTTTTGTTTACTTGGGGAAAAAATGTTAATTCCATACAACAAACATAAGCTAATAGAATGTCCTGATTACAAAGTTTATTGTGAAAATTAGAAAAAACACAAACCAACAAAATCCCAAAAAACAAACAAACAAAAAGAAATTAAAAGGAAAGAAGGAGTTTTTAAATGAAATTGAATTTTTAAATGAAATTGAATTCAGTTACTTTGTGTACAAACATTATAAAACTGTTTAACTAAGTACCTAGTAATTTTTTTCACTATTTTTTCTTTTGCACACATTGTAGGGTTCATTTGTTTTTTGTAAATGTGAATACTTGCAGTGTTAATAGGGTAAGATATTTACAGGAAGAAGGAAAATGTTCTCTTGGAGGAAGAGTGGTGGTGTTGAATTTTTTTCCACTGCTTATCTCAAAGGTTCTGCATGTTACTAGGCAAGTGTTCAGGTGTGAGAACTAGTTGCGTATATCTTATTTTCTACTATTTGGTTTGTGGTAATTGTAGTCTAAAGAGCAGGAACTTTAAATGCCACAGCTGTGACTGACGTATGTGACAATTAGGTTTGTGTCTTGCAAAATACAGAAATTCATTTGACTTGGCAGAATTTCAGCTCTAACTGACAAGAATCTTGTGCCAATATTTTTGAACATTATTTAAAGTTTTAGCTTTATAGTACCTGTTCCTCTGCTTTATTTAGAAAATGGCACTACTACAACCTCTGACTTTAGAAGGATTCTCAGAATTAAGTTTGACTTGTGAAGTTCTCCAGTGCTGAAATTATGAGTTGTGTAAAGAATAAGTGGTTGTTACTTTGAGTACTGCATGGGTGATAGTATAGTAAATGAAGTCTTGATGCTCTAGAGTGATTAAAGAACTAAATAAACAAAGATTATGGAATAGTTGAAGTATTTCTTGAGAGCTATATGTATCTACTGTGAAAGAGACAGATGTCATCTGAAAATCGTGTATCATCAAGTAAACTTACATGATGATTACCATGCATAAAGGTTTTCAAAATATTTCTAAATTTTGGTGTGATTTACTTAATGCTCTTAATATTGTTTAAATGTCATTGACATGGAATGACCTCAGAACTCACAGACTGTTTGCTTTCTTTCTTTATTTTACAATAATGTTATTGGGCCCTGAATTCTTACCTCCATCCTGAAAGCATATGCCTGTCTTTGAAGGACATATAAACTATCATCAAGATGTCTTGTCTTCTGCATCTGTTCTCAACATACTGGATCAAGATACCACTCTAGGAATTTTACTGATGAATAGGGAACATGGAGTCAAAGACCAGTGGGTGCCAGACAGGAAGTCTGTGACTGAGCTGGAAGTGGAATTCATTTTTCAGAACTCCAGTCCAGTGCTTTAGCAATAAACTAGTACAACTTTGCTTCTCCAGAAGAGACTTTTGAGCACTCCACCTCACAGTGGCTTTGAAGACTGTATGGAATGACATAGCTGTCTAGATTCTTGCTTAGACAACTTATTTAATATGCAACAATTTATTTTTCTTCATTTATAATGTAATTGATGGTATTTTGCGACCAAGCATTGAATAAGCCAAACTGATGATTTACTGAGAAGTATATTAATCATGTTTCTGAAGATTTTCAAGGCTCCTTTTAATTTTGATTCTGGCACTTGAAACAGTTGGGCACAAATACCAAGGATGTATTTAACAAGCTTTCAGACTCTGGGTTTTGCTGGTCTGGTATTTGCTTTAAATCAATTTTTACTTAGATTTGGTTCAGTTTTGTTCATGGCTAGCCATTTAGTTCCAGCCTACTTGATAAAATTTTTACTGAAGACATTGTCTGTTAAGTTTGTAACTTTTTGTGGATATTTACTGCCTTTTTCTTTTTTTTTTTACACAACGTCTATCTCAAATTGCAACAGAGAACAGTAAAGCAATAAACTAATGATATAATTGTTTTGTCTGTTTTTATCAAACATGTTTGTGTTTACCTTTGTCTGAAAAAGAGCATGATGTAGTCAGGATGTAGTGACAGACTTGCCAGTTTCTTGTTTCATTCTCACCTTAGGTTCTTCCAGAAACATTCTGTTGCATTCATTTGGTTCTTGCTACTTCTAATTTGTCTTTGATTTACTCTGTGAAACAACATGTTCAGTATCTGCTTTTATCTTTCTCTAACTTCTCTAAGCTCCTAGCTGTCATTGTTGAAAGAAAACTTTGTTGCTTCTCATGATTTTTTTTTTTAGAAGCAGCAATAATAGAGAGGTTTCCATGCTTCGAAGTAAAGTTGCACAGATGCAGACTGACACTGATGTTTTAAAAAGGAAACTGACAACTGAGCGATTTGAACGGTAAGATGCTGGTTTTTCAGTGAATTGACTCTCCCTCCTTATTTCTTCTTTCTCACTTTTAAAACTGTTGCTTTTTTGAATAGTGAGGAATTTTTATGGAAAACTCTGTTCCTCTTGTCATACAAAATTTAATATTTTCATCTTGAAAACTGCTTAAAGAAAAAATCTTACACAGTTTCTGAATTTCTTCGTAAGTTTTGTGAGTTTACCACTGCTTCTAAAAATAAAAAAAATACCTTTTCCTGGAAATAAAAAAAATCCCTTCTCAAGAATTAGAGTGGATGGGCTTTATGAGAAGGGGAGAGTCTTTGCAAGGCTGTGTGTCGTTCCTTTACCGCGGTGCAGTGTGGCTGAGGGTCTGTGTGTTGCAGGGAGCGGGCGGTGCAGGAGATGCGCCGGCACGGGCTGAGCACGTCCTCGCTGCGCGCCTCGCCCCCGCTCAGCTCCACGCTCAGGTCTCCCTCGCACTCCCCGGAGCGCGGCGCTGCCAGCACAGCTGAGCACGCAGCAGATGAAAAGTAAGTGATTCAGCAAGCCTTTTCTGTTCAAGAGTCAGGTGTAAACTGTTTCTAAATAATACCTTTGTGATTGTGTGAAATTGTTACACGCTTCAGATGTTTCCAAGTTCTGCTTTTGCTGTCTCTCTCCTACTATAAAATATTGATTGCAGCCAATAAATGCAAAGTGCTCTCCAAAGACCATATAATATAATGGATTCTCCTTCCTCTTTTTCTTAATGGCCTTGCACCACCTGACAACTTTCAAATATATGTTGCCTGCATATTACTACCATTTATTATATCCAGATATACTGTACCAGTTTATTATTGAAAATAGTTATCTCCAAACAGTGAATGGTTCCTATTAAGAGGAATGCCATGAAATTCTCCCGAGTACAGCAATGCAGGAAAGACACTCCAGAGAAGAGTTCAACTAAAATGCATTTGAACCCTAGACTAGATGAAAATATCTCCAAAACAAGTGCATAAAAATAATTAATGTATTTTTTCATTCTTAGTGCTTGAATCTATGAATGTCTAAGATCGTGATCACTATAGTCCATAAAAAAGAAATCAAAATCAGTCTCTTACCTGTTCATTTTCACTGTCATGTTTGTTTTTTTAGAGATCATTTTTGGTTTAGGTGATGCCAGTTATGTGTTACAGGCCTGATTATTGACTGTATATCCCACCTGTCCTATACTGAATAATAAGTTGTTGTCAAAAGGGGAAGGAGAGGAAGAGATAAAGAGTGATTGTTGTAGGAAATATGTGTGGTGTGACAGGTCATGAATGTAACTAACAGATTTTAAAGTTTATTCTTGCTGGTAAATACCTATGGCTTGTTCTAAGCTTACTTTTGTTAACAAAAACACAGGTTTCTTGAGAACTGAGCTCAGCCTGGCATGAACCTATATTGTCAGCAATTTTTCTCTTCTGCGAATTTTTGGGCAAAACAAAAAGACGAAATGTAGCAAATGAGATAGGGACAGTGGGGATGAAACAGCAGATATGCTTTTGCTTTACTGGTGAGCCCCTAGGCGTACCCTGTTATGTTGCAAAATGACATTTTGACTGAGGTGATGACAGATTATGTATTTCTGAGGAGTATCATCAGTAGAGAATTGTCTTTAGTCTTCCTTGCTTTACAGTGAGTCCTGAGAGCAATAAAAAGTCCAGTTGCTGTGCTTGGAGGATACCATGTAGTGCACTATTTTTATCTAATATTTGTATCCCTAGTTTTAACAATGTCAACTCTGTACCATATCTTACCAGAAAATACCCCATTTTCATGTACTGTGTATTTTTAAAGAATGTGGTTTTTAACAACTGAATTCACATGTTGTTATGCATCTTGCCTTTTAAATGTATCAATTACAGTAGAGTGATCTCAGCAGAGCTATTACCATCTTTCATCCTCCTTGTTTATTCCTTCTTGGGAGCTTACCAGAGTAAAGTGTACTCTGTAATTACTGTTCTGTAGTGTTACAGCTGTCTCTCTCTGACCTGATTTCATCTTCTCAAGAATTTTTCTTTTCCTCCCCATCTCACTATTATTTTTGTAAATTATTTTAGCAATGGGTCAGTGGTGTAGAGTTTTAAGTAATATGCTAATAGTTGATATTTGGGAGTAACAGAAGACCATCTGAGGAGGCTAAAGCTAATTACTACTTTTTTACTAATCCTAATATTAATTAGTTACTACTAATATTACTACTAATCCTAATATTAATTAGTAAAATATAATAGTTACCTTTATTTTGACATCTTTTCTTTCTCCACAGAAATGTGACCATCAAGGAATAACCAGTACTTGAGTAGCTGAAGCATTACCTTGTTACAAGGACTTTTTTAATATAAATTATGAATACTTGTATTTTACCTCTGTTTTCTTCAAATCACTGATTACCTTTGAAACCTTGAGAACGGGTGAAGTAATCAACTTTGCAAAATTCTGCTTTCCCAACTGGCAGGAGTGACTGACTTTTTATGGCTGTTTGACAGGTTTTGTATCAAACATGGCTAAGTTTTCTTACTTTTTGGGAAACATAATAATTAAAAGAAGGAAATGAGTATTGATTTGACAATCTCTTGTTTTCATTTTTCTATTTTATTTGTTTGCTTATCTCATAAGATTGGAGAAGTTTATTCATCTTAATGTGTGCTAACATAGAATAACATCCCCAACTGTGTTAAAAATGCTGAGCCAGTGTATGTTTTCTACTCATGATGATTTCCTATGTTTGGGTTTCTAACAAATGTTTTCTGTTTTCAGGTTTTTCTTAATGGTATTTTAAAGTATCAATTACCTATTTTGTGAATGTGTTTTGTTTACAGTACCTTTTCTTAATAAAAAAATATATATCAGTTATTCTTTATTACTTTTTCTATCAATCTCCCTTAGTTTAATCTTTGTGTGAAATTGCATTTTAAATATCCCCATATTTAATGAAAAGTGAAGAGAAAAATTTTTAAAGATGTATTGAAATACTTTAAATATTAAAAAATTCTCAAAGTATTTTATATTCAAACTTTTGAATCATAGCTGGAGATGTTTTTCAAATTTTGGTTTTAAATGTTCAGAGCAACCTGGAATCATTCACCCAGTTAAACTCAAGCTGTTGTAGAGGTGACACAGGACTTTATGTTGTGACATGCATATTAGGTAAATGAAGTGAGAACGAATCTTGAAAATATCTGGGGTATTTAGCAGAGGAGCATTTCAAACTTAGGCTTTGAAATAAGGTGCAGTGAGGAACATAGAGTTTTCTGAATAATTACATGCCAGCAGGGTGACATGGTGTGTATTCATAGCAATTATACAGAGCACTAGAAATGGGAGGCTGCATTGCTGCACATCCTTGCACTGGCCAAAAGTTCTGCTTGCCCAACAACAATAAAAACCTGTGATTACCAGCATCTCTAAGGTGCAAACAACATATTAAATTACATGGGGAAAAAAAATCTTATTTTTTTGCTTAGATTTTATCTAGTTTGCAACAAGATTGTTCCACTTAAAGTTTAGGAAGAATATTGTGTTAACTGAAAATATTGTATCATATATTATGTATTAAATTTTACTGATTAAAGGCAGCTTAGAGCACCAATTCAGAAGTACCTGAAAATACTTGTATCACTTGAGGTTTCTCAGCCTTGTGTATTCATGGTGGGTGCATCTTACACATTTTACTTTCTAGGTCTTTCATTTGCCTGTTACAGGAGTGAGGAGGATTTTGTCTCTAACTGTTACTTACTTATTAAGATTGTTTGTAATTAAGTCAGTAGTTTCCACTGATGCTAATTGGTGTTAATTATTCAGGTTGATTTAGTAAGGAGGAGAAAACTCATGTCCTGCTCTTGATGTCTTCAGTGGTGACTTTTAAATATCCTATTTTGTAAATAAACCCTTTAAAATTGGAATTATTTTTTTAAAAGCTAGTGTTCCACTTCATTGAAAACAATGTCTTTCATCTTACTGAAAAATGCATATTTTGGCATTACAATTAAAACCATAACACTTCAATTAATAGTAATTCCTACATGGATATATCAATTACAAAGAATTAGGACCTCATTGAACACAGGTGTTGTAATAAAATTGGTATTATTGGGGTGACCAAAGCCTGTGCAGATTTCTAGTATTAAAACAGTACTAATAATCAGGCTGTAGTATAGCTGTCAATTTTTTTTCTTGTTACTATTATTTTATATACATTTTTATAAGCAACTAGAGTAAAACAAAAGTAATTTTTAAACAACTTTGCTTTTAAATCAAGGACTTCAATTAATGAAGTAGAAAACAAGCACAAATTTGTGGAAGATTTAAATCCATGGACTACTGCATATGCCGTGTACAAAATGAGCCTTTTGTGGGCAAGATGTTAATGTGGCTCACCTGGACTCTGCTCCCAGAGGCTTCCCTGCTGTTCTCACCTTTGGAAGATCAAAAGCACCCTTGGCTGTTGTGTGTAGTCCTCAGCTGGGGTGAGTTACAGGGGGAGTGTGGCAGACATGAAATCGTGATAAAATTCCATATACTGCAGTTGTCTGTCTTACTGTCTGCAATTGGGATGGGGGAAAAACAGCTTTAGAGAAATAATAAAGGCAAGCAGTAATCATTGGGGCTGTTTTTCTACAAAACAATGAGAGTCTAGCATCAGAAGCAGGGGAGTCCAGAGATAATAAAAGCACAGGTGTTTTCTGTTTATTAAAACCTGAATTTCTCAACTAAACATCATAACATGGTTTTGAGAAATCCTTAAAATTAATTGGTTTTTGGGTTTTTGTGTTTTACATTATGTCCCTAAAATTTAGGTAATTAACCTAAAGATAAGTAAATAATTCTAGGGTTCAGTTGGGAAGCCAAATTTGTTCTTTTTTTGTCACTCTCAATATGAGAAACACTGATGTTCCTGTGTGTTGTTAATTAAAAAAAAAAGCTAAGATGAGAGATTCAGTCTTCCATTTTAAAATGTTTTATACGGAAATATGGCAGCCTGACCTAGGCAAATGCTGTTATTCCTTAATGAAACCTGCAGATTTTGGGGGGCTTAGATCATTCCTTGGGAGAGAACTTTATACTTTGTCTTTGCCAGCAGTGTAAGAAACCGGGGTGTGTGGCTTTGGTACTCTAGTCTTGCAACTTTGTATAAAAAGATATTCCAGTTTCATTTCATCCTCTGACCCTTCATAGGCCACACAAAGATCGTAGTAGCTGCAGTAATATTAATTCCTGGAGCTGAAGCCTTACCATCCCTGCTGCACTATAAATGGTGTGGGGAGAGAGAGCCCTGATGCTGTGAGAGCACTGATCAGCAACAGCTGAATGGTGCCAGGGGCTGCACTGCTACCACAGGGCTTTGGCCACAGAGGCAGAGAACCAACCCATGCATCTCCATCAGGCTGCAGGGTTATCCCTGCCCCAGCACAGCAGCTGGCCTGGCACAGGGGGCTCCAGCAGATCCCCTGCACAGTGGCAGCCCCTGCACACATTTGGGCTGTGGGGCGATAGAATGTAAGAAAATAAAGACAGTGCAGAAGGCAGTCTCACACCTGAGGAGTTGCAGCTATGCTAATCACCAAAGATTAGGAACAGGCCTGCCCTTAACAGGCCACAGCTGTGCCCAATAAGAAGACAAGTGGTACAAAAGAGTGGGTTAGCTGGGTGAGGAGAGAGTTGGAGTTTGTTGGCTGTGATGAAGAAGAATGAATCAGTACTGCAGGGAGCTGCGCGTGAGAAATCACCAAGAAGGTAGGGGACTTTTGCAATAAGATGACAATGCTGGGCTGCAGACATGGCCTGCCCAAGGTAACCAAGTCCCAGCATACAGAGTCTTCTATCAGGCTCCCAAGACAACATGGGCATGGCTGTTCTTGGGTAGTGCAGCAGACAGCCCAAAGATGATTAAGGGGTTGGGGCATCTCTTACATGAGGACAGTCTGAGCAAGCTGGGGCTGGTGAGGCTTGAGAAGAGAAGGCTTGAGGAGGGGAGCATCTCCATGTGTAACAGTGAGTGGGAGTAAAACATCTCCTTTTGGTTGGGAGGGGGAGGTACAAGACTGAGGGCAAATTGAAATACAGGGAATTCAAGTGAAATATCAGGGTTTTTTGGTTTTTTCCTATGGAGGTGATCAAGCAGTGCAACAGGCTGCCCAGAGAAATTGTGGAGTTTCCTCCACAGAGGTATTCAAAACCCACTTGGAAACAGTCCTGGATAGCTGTAGGTGACCCTGTTTTGAGCAAGGGTTTGTTGCACTAGGCAGTCTTCAAAAGGGCAACAACCCTGGGGCTGTAGGAAACTTTCCTACAATTCCCCACGGTGTGATCAGGGAAGTGTTTGCACAGCTGTGGTGAAATTGGCACTTATTATCTAAATTATGATCTTTGACATTTTAAAAGTTACAAGTATAAAAATAATTGCCATTGTTTTGTCTCAGTATTAGTTGTATCTATGTTAGAACTTGGGCGACTTTCAGAATTTATCATGGTGGTTGCCTCTCCTACCTGTGTGTACTGCCAACTCAACATTATCCAAGCAGAGCTGCCCCAGCAGTGTTGTCAGTATGTCCTTTACCATTTCAAGGTGATAGCCCAGGAATTAAACTAAGTAGAATGGTATGATGGAAAATGGAGGGGAGGGGGGGGGAAATGAAATTATGTTATTATGTTAGCTTTTTCTCAGTTTAAATGCTCCTGAGCAGGGATGGCTGTATTTTCATGAATACAAACACAGAAATGAGTTTCAGCATGGTTACTCAGGTGTGAGTCAGTCAAGGTCTGCAGCAGCAGATACTGCTCTTCGGGGAGATTTTCACTGAGCTTCTAGTCCAGAGGAACCCACTGACATCTGAACGTATCTCTATGAAAAGACATGTGTGGGTTGCTGGACTATAGCTGTGTCTGCAATCTTTATCTGTACCCATTTGCTTTGCATAAATCCATAAAGATGCTGAAGGAAGGAAAGGCACTCCCGGCTTGCTGCTGGCTTTTACATGGACTCTTTGTGCCACCTAGTGGACCTGGGTCTTTTCCAGTGATCATGGCACATCCTGGAAAGGTTTGGGTTTCTCCACAGAATTTCTAGATTTTTAATATTTTTATAATAAGATATACTAAACTCAAAGAACAAGACTTACTACTAAAGCTATGCATGCCTGAAGCCCATTCATCATTTGATGAATGAGATCTGCGATTGCATCACTTTCCAGAAATTGTTGGTTCTTAAGAAAAAAAAAAAAAAAACAACAAACCAAATACTTATTTCCTGCTCCAGGAAAGTGAAAAGTTTCACCTTTGCCAACAAAGGTCTGATGTAATTGAGCAATTTGATCGATCTGAAGGAACTGGCAAAAGCTGGATTCACCTCTTTCCTGGTGGATAGTAAAGCCAAACACAGCAAAAACCCTGAATCTTTTGGAGGATTGCTACCAAATTCAGCTCTGGTAATCAAGGTGCTTTGTGTCTATATATTTTGGATATAAATCCATATATACATATGTAACACTAAATGTTAAAAGTAGCAGTCAATATACCTAACAGCCGTCTAAATAGACCTGGTGCATTAAACTTCTGAATTATCAGTGCCCTGTAGACTGTGGCTTTAGTTGTGATGGGACTGAACAGACTGTGCCTCCCAGGGCTGGTATGATTAGTCTTCTCTAGAAGACTGCAGGTGAAAAAGTGATTTCTAGCAATTAGTGTTTATTTGGAGTCATAGACTAGTTTTTCTCACAAATATCACTTGGACGCAGGAATTCACTGAGCAATAGCTCACTAAGGAGTGGGAGAATATCAGTTAAAGCCCACCTAAACTTATATTCTTCCTTTAAAACCCCTGGTATTGGGCACAGTCAGAGACAAAAGAAAA